CGGAGCATTTTCCTCTAGCAATCCTCTATTCATTTGGCTCATTGATCTCACAAAAGGCAGCTCCAGATTCATTCCAGGTGTATTAAAACTGACAGTGGAATCATCTTTTTTTCTGTGATCTTCAACGGCTGGGAACAGACGCGGATCACAACGTTCCCTCCAGCAGAGCAACCGAAGAGTGCAAAAGTTATCATGCAGGCATTCTCCTGTTTTCAGAGGAGCTTACGACAGTTTCTGGAGCAGAGATTCTCAACCCTGGCAGTTTGAAGATGTATGGACTTCAACTCCCAGTGGCTTTCATGCCTAAGGCGTGAGACTTTCAGCTGGCTGGGGAATTCTGGGAGTTGAAGTCCACACATCTTCAAGCTGCTAAGGTTGAGCACCACCGAGGAACAAAAATATCCTTTTATGTGCTTTGAAAAGAAGTGGGGAAAATTCAGGGGTGGGATTCAGAAATTTTAGCAACCGTTTCTCTGCCCGGTTGCTGGGTGCACGTGGGCATGGTGGGCGTAGCCGACTTGGCCTCCTGAACCACGGAGGGGGGGCGTTTTCACCCTCCCCAGACTCCGGAGGCTTTTCTTGAGCCTCCGGGAGGGCAAAAACAGCCTCCCCTGGGCTCCGGAGGCTTCTGGAACTTCCAGTAGGCCCTTTTTTCACCCTCCCAGAGACTCTGCGCAGGCCCTGCACTTACCTGGCATCGAAACATGGTGTTACCTTCCCACCAAAGGTGGTCCCTATTTTTCTACTTGCATTTTTTTTTACATGCTTTCGAACTGCTAGGTTGGCAGAAGCTGGGACAAGTAACGGGAGCTCACCCTCTTACGCGGCCCTAGGGATTCGAACCGCTGAACTGCCGACCTTTCGAACGACAAGCTCAGCGTCTTAGCCACTGAGCCACTGCATCCGCGATGGAGAAATAGCTAACGCCAAATCTTAAGGAATTAAATCTAAAGTATATAATCGATGATCGGTGATTGGAGCTGAATTGCAATCAAGTTAGAAGAAAATCATCTACAGGTAGTCCTCAACTTATAACCATTCATTTATTGAGCATTCGGAGTTGTAACGGCACTGAAAAAAGTGACGTATGATGGTTTTTCACACTGATGATTGTTCCAGCATCCCCATGGGCACACGGTCAAAACTAGGAAGCTTGGCAACTGGCATGTACTTAGGACGGTTGCAGTGTCCCTGGGTCATGTGATCACCTTTTGTGACAAGCAAAGTCAACAGGGAAGCCAGATTTGCTTAACCACCGTGTTGCTAATTTAACAACTGCAGGGATTCACTTAACAACCGTGGCAAGAGAGGTCGTAAAATGGGAAAAAGCTCACTTAACAACTTGCTTGCTTAGCAATGGAAATTTTGGGCTCAACTCTGGTTATAAGGACTACGTGTACATTGCCTAAATAGGGAGTGATGTTAAGTCTGAAGTTGTCATCCTAGGTCAGTGATGCTGAACCTTTTTGGCACCGGTCCTAGGTAAACACTGATTCCGATGCTGATTGAAGCCACGCCTGCCTTAAATTTTCTTTATACCAGTCACTGTTTTAGATCTTCCTAAATATACTTGATGCCCCTGATCTGGGCCTGATGAAGGAAAAAGTGTAAGGGACAGTTCCACTGTCTCTTCTCTGGAATCGTAGATGCAGTCACCTTGCCTGAGGCCTGTCTAATCACCTGTTGCGGAAGAAAAGTCGTATTTTCACGGATGACGCCAGAGCTTGTAACCAGCTTCCTTCAAAGCTGCAATAACAGTTTAACAACTCTGAGGAAGAGCTTTTATTGTGGGAGCATTAAATGTTTTTTTTGCCTAATGATCGAAAATAATAAAATCTTAGCCTTTGACGGTTAAGAGAGCATTAAAAGAAAATAGACTGGCTGGCATATTGGCAGGGTCTCTTGTCCCAGAGGCTCGACTGCGGTTTATTTCTATCGTGCAGCTTTTGGAGACAAATCCAGTAGCTTTTCCGACTGATAAGATGGAAGTGTTTATCTCAAGCGCATAACCACAAGGAAAGCCAGCCTTACACCTAAGATCATAGTTCTCCAAGTTGAAATCCAGGGTAATTCTCTGTCCTGACCAGCTTATAAGCAATCTTCCTTCAATGTGTGGTGAGCATTTGTTTTGCAATGTTTATTGTTGCAAGGATGCTTAAGGAGTACTGTAAGCAACTAATCCTTTACACCAGAGGTCTCCAACCTTGGCAACTTTAAGCCTAACAGACTTCAACTCCCAGAATTCCCCAGCCAGCTTTGCTTTGCTGGCTGGGGAATTCTGGGAGTTGAAGTCCGCCAAGCTTAAAGTTGCCAAGGTTGAGACCCCCTGCTTTACACTGTTTAGAGGTTTTCAACAAACCTCTAAATAGTGGAGGTTTAGAGTGGAACAAACCTTCAAAAAAAGTGCAAAAACGGGTAACAATCTTCCTCTTCTGTAACATGAGCTTCTCTGCTAAGGAAAGCTTGGGAATATTGTCAAATCGCTCCTTTCCTAGAAGCTTAGAGTTAAAAGATTTGCTGAGGTCGCTAAATCCAAACATCTATGGTAGAGATTTTCATTCTTGGTCATTTTTAAGATCTGTGGACTTTAACTCCTAGAATTCCCCAGCCAGCATGCTGGCTGGGGAATTCTGGGAGATGAAGTCCATATATCTTAAAATGGCCAAGGTTGGGGAAAAAAACCTGTTCTATGGGAATATGCGTGAAAATATCCCCAGCAGAACATTGTCCAGTCACATCCAGCAAGAATAATTCAGTAGTTCAGTTAGATTTATATTATTTATTTTAAATTGAGACCCTCTGGATATTTTGAATCTCCCCTAATTTTAGCTATTGGGGTTTATTGAGGTGGCAAAATATCTAGAGAATTCATAGTCTAGTCTAGTCTAGTCTAGTCTAAAATTAACGGTTGCCTACCCCAATTTAAACAAATTGGTTTCATGAACTAAAATAACTCAGGTTTGTTTTAACTATGGTTTGTTGAATTTGTTACAGTTGTCTGGAGCTGCAAAATAGGCAACACCAACGATCGAGGTTCGAAATGACTGAGTTTGCACAATACATTAAGACAAAAGCTGGGTGCATAAAGTAATATATAAAACAAAAAAATACACATTGTGGCTTAATGGGTAAACCAGGTTAGAGCATAGCCTCCTTCTGCACAGCAAGAATGTAAAACAAACAGCGTTCAGAGTAGCACTGACATTTAAACTAAGGTGTTTAAGAAGAAATGAAAAACAATAAAAGTGAGACAATAGAGGGAAGTCCTTATAGACTATTTTCATCGTTCTCTCTCTTTTTTTTTTGCAGGGAAAGTGTTGATTTTTTAAAAGAAAAGTAATAGATATCGTCTGGCCATCTAACTGCTCCCGTACAACTTTCCTCTAACACAATCTGGATGTGTCCCCAAACAGGAGCCAGTAAGTATTTGACGAAATGGGAGAATCATTTTTCCTCATTGAAAAATGGCTTTCAAGATTAGCTTGATGGATTGTGAAGAGGTGTACACGCTCATGAGCCATTTCTGGAGTTCTTCTGTGTAAAAATAGAGCCCGGTCCATTGTTAATGCTTAGTTACATAGCAAAGATGGGAGAGTGAATGAAAAAGCCATTAGCTTTGCATTTTGTCTAGGAAAAACTGGTATTTTTTTTTTTTTAAATAAAAAGACACCTCATCAAGAATTACACGTCTGGCAATCCTGAAAGACGGTTCCCAGGAGCATTTTCCCCTCTATGCCATGTGAAATATGTACTGCTTTGCAGTGCGTATTTTACCATTTTTAACACCCTTAATGTACCTTTAATTTACTGCTCGTCTTTCTTGTGATCTGCAATCTCCAACAGAGCACACGCATATTCATTTTAGTGACATACCGGCATGGTAAATAATAATAATAATAATAATAATAACAATAGCAACAATAACAACAAAGAATACCCCGACTTATAAAAAAAAGATTGCTCTTTTTAGGCTGATTTAAGGATTGATAATGGTTTGGGAGAAAGTTAACAACCGGTTCTCCTGAAGGGGTGCGAACTGGCTGAATCTCACCACTGGATATAATTCTTTATTGGCCAAGTGTGATTGGACACACAAGGATTTGTCTTTGGTGCATATGAATAGAATAGAATAGAATAGAATAGAATAGAATAGAATAGAATAGAATAGAATAGAATAGAATAGAATAGAATGAAGTGGAGTGGAGTGGAGTGGAGTGGAGTGGAATGGAATGGAATGGAATGGAATAGAATAGAATAGAATAGAATAGAATTCTTTATTGGCCAAGTGTGATTGGACACACCAGGAATTTGTCTATGGTGCAGAGGCTCTCAGTATACATAAAAGGAAAAGATAAATTTGTTAAGAATCATAAGGTACAACACTTAATGATAGTCAATGGGTACAAATAAGCAATCAAATCATATTAGGAAACCGTCAATATAAATCGTAAATGCATGCATCAATAAATATTAAAAAAATATAAATATAAATATTAAAAAATATATAGAAAAGTTTATGCATGCAATAAATCTACTTATTTATTTACTTAAGATAATGTAGATAGGCGGCTTACAGGTAACAAAAACAAGATGTAGAAAATAATGATAATAATGATAATGATAATGATGATGATAATAATAATAATAATAATAATAATAATAATAATAATAATAATAATAATAATAATATAATAACCAGCCCCCCAACACCCCACCCTTCCCAAAGTTCCCATCATTGTCAGTCTGGGTGTCAATCCCGGTGGAGCTCCCCCCCTCCCACTCCGAAGGTGTGTGTGTGTGTGTGTGTGTAAGAGCCCACCTCCCCTCTCCCTTGAAAGCCCCTCCCTTCGGCCCCTCTTCCCTCCCTCCCTCCCTCTCCCGCATGGGAGTTGTAAACAGTTGCCTCCCCTTTTCTTTCTTTCTTTCTTTTTTTTTTTTTTTTGGCGGACAGGCCCCGCCCCCTCCCGGCCCCCCCGCTCGCATCTCATTAGCATAGATTAAGGCCGGGGGAGAGCCGGAGTGCAGGTGCGGAGCCGGCGAGAGGGGGAAGCGCGAGGCGGCAGGAGGGAGCGCGGCAGGATGCGGTCGGCGCGGAGCTGCAGGCACTCGCCTTTGGCGGCCGCGGCGGGGATTTTGCTGCTGTGCCTGGCGGGCCGAGGTAAGCGCGGCGGCGGCGGCGGCGGCAGGCGAGGCTGCTTCGTCTCTCGCCCTCCCCTTCAAAGCCTCGCCTCCTCCCCGGGTTGCGCCTCGCGCCGCTTCCCTTAGCCAACCTCGCCCGCTTGTCCTCTAACCACCAACCGGGGAGCGGGGCTAGAACTGAGCCCAGCCCGAAGGAAGCCTTTGCCCGCTTTTTTTTGCCCGCCGGTTCACTCGACCCAGCCGGGCAGGGACCCCTTTGCTTTGAGCCGCCGGCGTGGCATCCTCCCGGGGCCGAGGATCCCCCCACCAAGCCCCCCCCCAACCCCCCCTTTCTTTCCCCCCCCCACCGGGGGGCCCCTACCTTCCCCCCCCCCTCCACAGCCCTCTGCAGCAGCAGCAGCAGCCGAAGGGGAGCGAACAATGACGGAGCGCCCGCCCGCTCGCTCGCTCGCTTTGCCGGGGCGCGCTGCAGGGGCCCGCGCTGCGCTGCGAGCTGCGCTTGAGCCGCCCCGGCGAGGCTTTGTTTGAGCGCGGGTTGGTGGGTGTTGGGGGCGCGCGCGCGCGTGTTGCGCGTGTGTGTGTGTGTGTGTGTCCCGTTCCCCGCTCTGTCCCCGGCGAGCCACGCGTGGATGGCTTCGAGGGGGTCCCTTTCCCCCCTCCCCCCTCCCGGTTTTCTCTGATGTCCTGAGAATGGAAATGGGGGGGGGAGAGGGGGCTTTGCATTGGAAGCCCCCCCCCCACCTCCTAGAAGTCCTTCCTTCCTTTCAACTCCTAAATTAGATTTCGGGGGAAGGGGAACGGCGACGTCTGGATTCCGCGCTGCTCGCTCCTATTGCGGAGTGGAAGTGTGTATGTGTGTGTGTGTGTTTGTGTGAGAAAACCTCACAATGTCCTGAAAGTCCCCCTCGTCGAGCCGTTTTTTCCCCCCACCCCCCCGTCGACCCGTTTCGGTGTTTTCAACTCGGAGGTTGCTTTTGGTTCCAGTTGGGGGAAAGGGGGGGGGGGCTGGTTGAGTGGTCGCTTTTCTTTTGTTTCGTGAGTGGCGCGCCTGGGCTTTTATTTTTCTTTTATTATTTTATTTTGCATCCCGCTCGCTCAAATGGATCGCGGTGCTAAAAAAAGGGCAGCTAAATAGCTACATCATCTCTCTTCCCACTCTCTCTCTCTCTCTCCCCCCACTCCACCTCCTTTCTTTTCCTTTTGCCCTCATTCTTCTCTCCCAGCAGCAGCAACCGGGTGCCACGAGTTGTTTTTCTTTTTTCCTCTGTAGAACGAACAAAAAAAAAACAAAAAACCATGTGAAGGGGTCCAGCCTCGATTCCCATCCATTTCTAAGTCGATCTTCCTTTGTCACATTTTTTTCCATCCTTCCCTTCCCTTCCCTTCCCTTCCCTTCCCTGCAAGGCCATGAGGTGGCTGCTTGACCGCTGGAAACCCCCCCTCCCTCTCCCTGCACCGACCTTCCTGAATGTGGCTCTGATCAATGGGGAGAATTATACAAGGAAAAATGGCGTTTCCAAATCACATACCTCCCCCCCTCCCACCCATCCTGGGTATCAATTCCCATCTGATGCAGCAAGCACAGGGAAGGAGGGGAGGAAGGAGGGGGGGGGGGCTTGACGGGGAATAGAGAACAAAGCCCCGGAAAGTAACATTGGGGAAAACAAAAAAAAAGAAGTGAAAAAATAATTTGATATTCAGGAGCAGCCTGGTCTATTTGAATTTGAAGTACAAGGGACGAGTCCCTTTGATTCCAGTTTTAAGTGTTCCCATTTAATGGCCTTGTAGAGGGTCTTGCTGCGAACCGAGCCAGAAAAGAGGCTCTTTGAAGGGTGGGTGGGAAAATTCATACGAAAGGTCAGAATCCCCCAACTTTACAGAAGAGCGCTGAACTTTACTTTTGTAAGTGGCTGGCCTCTCAATCAATCAAATCGATGGATCCCGTTTTATTTTTCCTCTTTGGAGAGGTCAAGCTTTTGTTCTGGGCAGAAGTTCCCTTGCAGCGTGGTGATGGTAGAGTCTGCAGTCTCGGTCAGGTGTGTGCGCCTTCCAGGCCGTTTTCTCTCTCGCTGTGATCTTTCCTTGCAAAGCCGTCCACCTCTCTTGTCCTTCACTGCTCAAGGATGCAATTATAAGGCAGGCCGGCAAATGGCTCGGACGAGAAATTGCGTGTGGCAGGAGGCAAATGGGGCTTGAAGCTGGGTTCCGGGTTCGCAAGCGTGCGCGGGTGACCTTTACATGTTCTCCTACCGTGCTTCTATCAGCTGGTTAGGTACTTTTCAGCTTAGGTAATTGGTTTATTTCATCACCATAATAAAATGGGCAGAGACAGTAAAAGAGTACATTCAGAGAGGGCTTCTGGGCTATTCTGGCTTGCTCTTCAGCTGGAAGGGCCAAGACATTCATATCTATCTATCTATCTATCTATCTATCTATCTATCTATCTATCTATCTATCTATCTATCTATCTATCTATCTGTTAAATCCAACTTTGTGTAATAGTTTTGTGGCTGCATCTGAGATTTGGCATTTTGCAGAACTGTTTGTGCATCATTTCCTAGTACGGGACCTGGGCTTTAGGATGAAATACATCTTTAGGAAAATGAATTTAAAACTGTAAAATGTTCTTGTTAAAGATACGTGTACATTTTATTAATTTTGGGAACAAGCCTGTTAAAGCGTGTCCGATCCCTGGGAGACTTGTCTTCAGTAAATGTGGGCTGTGTAAGGCAAAGCTTTTGGGAGAAAAAAAATCCAAAATTGCCGATTGAAGTGAGAAAAGCCACATCGTCTTTTCAGTAAGCTTAGAGCCTGATTCTCCCGTTCCCCAGGACAGAGCAGCCTTGCAGATTTCGAGTTCAATTTCAGCCAGATTTTCAGTTCCGCTGATTTATTGATCCCTTTTATCATTGGGGCAGACCTAAAAGCCCGATTATTTATTTATTTATTTATTTATTTATTTATTTATTTATTTATTTATTTATTTATTTATTTATTTATTTATTCTAAGCTAGCGCTCCAGGCTTGGTGTTTCTTTTTGGTTCGGGCTGGAAAAGCAGCAGGAAAAGAAGTGTGAATTCTGTATACATGCATGAGTCGCTCAAAATAAAACTGTTGGATGTTCCCTCTGTGTCTCCCATCGCTTGGTTTAAAAAAAAAAAATAGAATAACAGGGACAGAAGCTTTTCTGGCAACTGGAAGAGAGAGAGGGAGAGAGAGAGAGAGAGAAACCCACAAGTTTTAAAGCAGAGAAGGACGTTTGAAAGGCAGAAGCTCTGGCTGCTAAATGAAAGGGTTTTGCTCGGCTGAGATGGGAGATATGGTCAGTGTTAGATGGGCTGCGCGCAAGAGGGAGTGATGCTCAGCCGGCAGGGGAAGCAACAGCCGAAAGTGCCTGTGATAGGGGTGGAGAGGAGGGGGGTGAGGATCTGGTTTGCAAAGGAAAATGGAACTGGTCTTGACTTTAATTTTGTGACTTTGCAACGAACTCTCTTCTGTTCCTTATCAGAGGCAGCAGGTCCCTGCACTGGGTAATTGCATTCTGCTTTAATCAATAGCTGGACTAAATCTACTTTCTAGGTCAGGGAGGGGGAGGGTGTGTTTCTGTCCCTCCTCTTTCTCCACGGCTCCTTCCCGTCCCTACTTTTACTCATCCTTCAGGCCGTAGAACTGGAATAAGGGTGTGGGCACCACCAGGATCAGAGAAATGACAGGAAAGTGTCTTCAAAACCAGCCTTTGCATGGGTGGCCGTGGTAATTAGTGGCAATTCTAGAGTTTTGGAAGGAAAGGGCTGCAGTCTTCGGGTTTGTACAAGGCCTTAGGGCTGGTAGCCTCATTAGAGGTTTCTAAACATACATAATACTCCTTCCCTCCTCCCATTTTCCCCTACAACAACAACTCTGGGAGGTGGGTTGGGCTGAGAGAGAGGGAGTGGCCCAAAGTCACTCAGCCAGCTTTCATGGCCAAGACGGGACTAGAACTCACCGTCTCCTGGTGATTGACCCAAAGTCACCAGCTGACTCTTTCACTTAAGGTGGGACTAGAATTCAGCATCTCCTAGTGATTGGCCCAAAGTCACTCAGCCAGCTTTCATGCCCGAGGCGGGATTAGAACTCATGGTCTCCACGTAATTGGCCCAAAGTCCTCCAGTCTTTCATGCCAAAAGCAGATCTAGAACTCCCCTGTCCTGGTTTTTAATCTGGAGTCTTAACCATTGGACCAAGCTGGCTCTAAAATGTTGCATCCTTAATGTGGAAGCCATTCTTTCTCCCCGAAAGAGGCGTATGCTTTCAGAATAAGACATTCTGCACATGCTTAAAAGTGCTGTGTTTGGCATTTCCGTTTCTATTTACAAAGCAAGTGACCTAGTCTGTTGGGTTCCCTTCCTTCCTTCCTTCCTTCCTTCCTTCCTTCCTTCCTTCCTTCCTTCCTTCCTTCCTTCCTTCCTTCTTTCCCAGGGACAATCCCTTAACACTGAAAATGAATGTTCTCTGGTAACCAGGCTTATCAACTGAATAATTTCAGAATAAAAAGACTTCCTAGAAAAGCAGGGTTTGAAATAAGACAGCAGTTTTTTTATATTTTTTACATAGCCTTGAAAAGATAAAAGAAACAAGGGAGCATCTGCTATGTTCTATATAGATTTATGAGCTTCTGGTGGAAGGGGCAGTAACTCTTAAATAAAGAACCTTGGGTAGCAGCTGAAGTTCCTTAAAATGAGCAGCGATCCACATTTTGAAAATTCTCGTCCCCCTCGCCTACTGGAGCTCTGAAAAGAGGGCTGGGATTAAGCACATACCTGTGAAATGGAGAACTTCTGAGCATGGTGTAGAGTTTGCAGTTTGGCTACTGTTGAAAAGGAAGAGTCGGCCTCCTTCGTTTCCCCTCCTACCCTGTAATTGCTCATTAATATTTATTTATTTGTTTGTTTGTTTGTTTGTTTGTTTGTTTGTTTGATTTATATCCACCCTTCTCCGGAGACTCAGGGCCGCTTACAATGCTTTTTAAGCAATAGCCTT